AGCCGGGGAGCCAGCCACGAGAAACATGGCCCCAGGCTAGTGTGCTCGTGCCCTGCGCCTGGAGCTCCTCGCAAGGGGCAAAGGCTGGGGCTGCCCTCTCCCCGCTGGCTCAAAAGGGCTGCCAGGTTCTCCCAACACCCCGGAGCAGCAGGTCCCAGAAGTGGGAAGCAGCACGACCCCCTGCCCCAAATCACCAGGGCCCCCACCCCAGCACAGAGTCTGCACCTGAAACCCAGGACGTTTTTCACGCGACCGCCTCGCTCAGCAGAGAAAACCTGGCCGAGCTAATCCTGCGCCATCAATCCAGCTCCTTTATCTGCAGCCGGAGGCTGCTCACGTGGAAGTGCGACAGGAGCCGAAAGCCTACAGCCCGTCACCAGGCACCGCGGCCAGCCCTGGCACGCGTCCCCAGCAGGCCCCTCCAGCCACGAACGCCGTTAGATCTGCCAGACGGATCACCGAGCAGAAGGCAGACGAAGCGGCGCGGTGCCGTCCTGTGGCTTGCACAAGGAGAGATGCTCCTGTCCCCGAACAGCCCTGACAGATAAAGCAGATTTTCCAAACCACTTGGATCTTACGCCGATAACCTCCCAACACTCTGAAGGCTGGCTGCACCCCACTCCATTTCCACGACTCCAACGTCCCCCCCCGCCCCTCGAAGCTGTCCAAGCAGGCAGCGAAAAAAGCCTTCCCAATATCGATCTGATTACATTTCAATCCATCTCATCACAAGCCCTAAACAAATCTGTCTCACACCACAGCTTACCCAGAATAGCTCCCAGCCCGCACAGCGCTTCACCGGTGGGGTTCCTCAGAGCCCGGCAGCTCCCGTCGGCACAGGAGACTGAGCACGGAGGAAGCGAGGACAGGAAGATGAACCTGAATCACCGGGCGATCACAGGACCGGCCCCTGCCAAGCTCGTGCCTCTGACAGCAGCGCAGGTAAGGCCGTCCCGGCTGCACCGGCTCAGGGAATAGGAATGTGATGACTGGAGGCCTCACTCGCCACTCCGGCAGTTTCGGGTGCTCGGGGCAGACTGAGAGGCAGGGGATAAACGCCTCTCTCTGGGCCGCAGATGTCTTTCCCCCAGGAAAACCTGTTCCTTAACCACTGAAGGGGACCACAATGCCAACGCCAGGTAAGAACCGGACAGTTTCACACCTGAAGCTTCCGATTTCTGACCCCTGACCTCCAGGGCAAGCAACAAGAGAGGTCACAGATACATCCACCACAACAGTGAAAGTTTCTTTATGACCCAGGCACCGAACACCAGGTGCCCACGACCTTTGAAATGGTTTGTACCAGGTATTTAAATCCAGATCCCTTCTGAGACTCACCTCCGACTACATAAACTACAATTTACTGATGCCACAGTACACAGGAGGGCAAAATAATACCAGGTCCGTCCTCACGGGTCAGACATTCCCATTCCCTGTCAGGGCAGAGGTCTGAGAACAGGAAAAACGGACCAGCAGCATCGCTGCGATGCCAGCGGCTCCCCTGCCCTCAAGCAAACCACCAGCTCTCTGCGGTTCAGGAAAATAAATAAATAAGCTGCCTTTTAATTAAAAGCAGCTCTTCTACTGAGTGAGAAACTCCTCGACTACAGACACCCTCATTGGGAAGACATTTCCCCCTCTGTCTTCTAATGTTTTCCAAGTCACTTGAGATCTCAAGTTCTCTGGTAGCGCTGACCACACCTCTGCGGAGCCAGGAACGGTGAGAGCTCAAACCGCTGTGACTCAGTGGGTCCTCGTCCACCTCAGCGCGGAAGCCACGTCACTCCTACCTCTCAGAAACGCACCTTCCCCCGACACGTGCGGTGCTACTTTGCTCCAGACAGAGCTCGAGGCCTCACACAGAAGAACCAACGTCCAGCGATTCCTCCTTCAGCCCCACCATGCTGAGACACTCGGCAGACTGGAATGAAGCCTGGCAAAGCCATTCAGCCTGTACCTTTCCCACCAAAGTAAGATCAGAGACGGCTCATAACGTGCTCGTCTGGGACCTGCCGGCGCTGCCAGGACATGTTGCAACAGGAGCACTTTTCCCCCGTGCTCCTTCCCACCCCACAGCAGGACTGCAGGGCCGGGACAGAGCAAACTGCTGCCAGGGCAAGCGTGACGTCGCAGGGGGAGAGCATGATGGCATCACGGCACGACCAGCGGGAGGGGACAGGCAGGAGAGCCCCCGCCTTGTTTGAACACCAGCAGCTGGAGGTAATTAGCAGAAATACAGCTGAGAAACGTGCCAGGTAATGAGACTCCTGACTCGGTCTCATGTGTCACAGGCCTGCGCCAGCACAGGAGCGGTGCCAGCGCTGCAGGCCGTCACCTCCGCTCCCGACCCACGGGAACAGAAACACCCACATCACCTCCCTGGTACGCTCCTGCTCCAGCCGGTTACTCACGGGGTGACATTTCCCACCCAGCTCTGCACCTCGATGGCACTTGGGGTCACAGGAGCTCCTTCAGATACTCCTGCAACAGGGACACACCGCATCGCCGTACGGGGACGGACGGACGGGTTTGTCAGCTGTCAGAGAACAAGTCAGTGCCACGTCTACAAGGGAAACACACTGCTCAGGTCCCCGTTTGCCCTGCTGCCCCCCACGTAAGCCCTGTGTCAGGCAGAGCGGCTAGGGACAATCCCACAGCAACATTACTTCTGTAAGCACAGCCGGGGAGGGGAGGGCTATTTTTTACAAAGAAAATCATCAGTCATTAACTCCCTGTATCTATCATGCCCTTAAAACTAGTGCTGCACCGAAACCTGCATTCAGATAAAGGCTCTGACCTAGAAGAGCGAGAGAGGAGGGGAGAGAAGAGTTTAAGCTAAAGCAGCTTGAGGATAAACTGGAGCTGAATTCCCAAGAAACAGGTCATTTCGTTTCAGCACACGGCCCCGTTCAGGTTGTGGATTAACAGCAAAGGTCACATTGAAAAACCAAAATCAAGAGGCACCGAACTCAGCACATGTTGGCTGCTGATTATTTCATCCCATGAGAAGAGCGGAGGACTCTGGGTGGCAACTCTGGAGTGATCTGTGTCTGTCTTTAAAATAAAGCGTCAATCTTTAATGTTCATGAAGACAGACACAGCTGATAAAGATTAGGGAGACACAAGCAAAATTCTCAAAAAAAACCCAACAGGGGGGGTTTCTTCCAGCACTGCTTACCACCCCTTAATGTCTGGCGTATGCCTTACAGAAACTGTGCCCTTTGAAACAATGCTGCTCTGACAGCCGACTTCTCTGCATTTCTCCTCCTTTGTTCTTCCTTACCGGGGATCCTTTCACCAAGCCAGATCTGAGCCTTTGAGAGCTCCATATGCCGCGGCGGCAGCTCACTGCGCTTGCAGGGAAAGTGATTTGAAAGACCTGAATCGGGGCAGTGAGAGAGACACCCGCTAGATCAAAGCGCAGAGGAGAGCTCATCTTCGGTTAAGCCAGGAGGGGCAGGTTTGCACGTTAGCTTTCCTTTCGAAATAAAAAAACAAAACCCAAGAAAGCTGTGAGAAAACTGAGAGGAAGAAAACGTGTGAAAAGCTATCGCTTTGGATGAGAGAGAGTTCACTGAAGTCGAAGTGACCCTGAAGAAAGCTGCTCCCAGAGCTGCCGCTCCACAGCCATGGGCCCCACCACCACCGCAGCACCCCTCGCCCCACGGCGGCACCGGTTTTGGGGCAGTCCCACAGCGTTTCAAATCAGGTCTCCCCTGCCAACCCTGGGTTCAAAAGACTACTAAAACCCGAGAACATTACACTCGGCAGTCCCTCTCTCCCGTGAAACAGCTGTATTACCCAGATCTGGCCTGGACAGGACTACAGACCACATTTTTCAGGCATTTTTCAAGTCCCCATTTGCCGTGAAGGGAAATGAAATGCCTTCTCCAGCAAGCAGCCCTGGATTCTGCTCATCCCTCGGGGGGGTTTGCTTTTTTAGCAGGACAGGCAGCAGTGACCTTCAGACGCCGTAAGCGCGTTTCCTCGCTTTTCAGGGGGATTTGGGCGCCGTGGCGGATTTGTATTTCACAGCTACCCTCGGTGCCGCAGCGAGCCTGCATTTGCAAACCCGAGATGAAGCGCTTCATCCTCAGGGAGGCAGCGGCTTTGAACTGCAGATCAAGAGGAATTTCCAGCCCTCTGATGTCGGCTGCAGAATGCGGCTGCACCGGTTTGGGGACGACTTCCAAGGCTGGACCTCTCAAACACCCTCCCGCCCGCCCCCGCCTCGAAGGGCGCCTTTATCTTCCACCTCTTCCCATCCAAACCCTCAGTTCCTCATTACCCTGAGCACAGCCCTTCCAAATTCAGACCCTGTCCTACAAAGCCTGACATTTCTGCCCATTCCTGAGGAGTAAGGGCTTCGGCAGCACTGAAGATG